AATGAAATATGTTTTTCCCTTATCCGGTTTTCTCCACAATCGCCCCTGTTAGCATACATAAGTGTAAAACGAAAGGCATTGCTGACTCTCATTTATCGTTCACGACAGAAGAATCCTATATATATATATATATATATATATATATATATATATATATATATGTATGTGTGTGTGTGTGTGTGTGTGTGTGTGTGTGTGAAAAATATATAGAAAATAGGAAAGAACTCGTTGGGTATATAATCCAAAGTTCTTTAGTATTTTTGTTATTATTTTTTAAAAAATAGTGCTCAATACAAAAGTAGAGCATAAATTCCAAAAAAATTTCGCTTGAAGATGGAACAGAGCTTAGTACTTTAATTCAATTTAATTCAAATAATTATATTGAAGTTTTCGGCTCTTGTTTTGAAACATGAGAACTCTTATGTAGCGTGTTGGAATCATATTTTTAAATAAATAATTATATATATATATATATATATATATATATATATATAAAGAGAGACAGACAGACAGGCAGACAGATTTACAATAATATTAACTAATGTTCCTATTACTATCTGAACCTGCATTCTCATTTTGATTAGTATACAAACAACGTTTCGACTATTATATGTCCCCGGATCATCTTCAGTTGTCTGTCTTCGTAATTAATAAGCTTCTTTTGAATTGGTTACTTTTGTTCCGTTTTCAATGCTATGGGGATATTTTGTATCAGTTTGTGTCGTTTGAGATTGAACTCACAACTGCCTAGTTCCCTGGGTCTGGTAATACTGGATCTTCGTGGAAGAAACGAATAAGCGGCAGAGAGGTGACTAATAAAGACCGAAATGTTGCGTGCATAACAACCAGACCGAGCATGCGCATTCAACTCGCAATACATAATAGTCAGTTAGTTATGTGCCATGCGGGATACACGCTTAGGCGATCATGTATCTTTTGATACATGACAGACGAGGCAGATTTTTTCCTGCAGTAGATTACCATTTCTTTCTGCCCTAGACCAGTTGCCATCCAAGGCTATAGAACTCAGTCTATCCTGCTATCTACCCATAGCTGAGGGGAGAAGAGGAGGATTCATACCTTTCCCAAAGGTATTAGCGTGTAAGTGAATGTAATGGATCTGACTGGGATTCGAACTCGGCTCTCCGATGCCTCTCCGTGCCTCTTTTCAATTAAATAAAGTTTCAGAAATATATATTTAAGGCTATAGAACCCAGTCTGTTCTGCTATTTACCCCTAACTGGACGTGGGGAGAATAGGAGGATTCATACCTTTCCCAAGCGTATTAGCACGTAAGTGAAGGTAATGGATTGGACTGGAATTCGAACTCGGCTCTCCGATTCCTTAATCCGAGCCGCTAACGATAACAATAATTTCTCATTTTTAATAATAACGATAATTTTAATAACGATAATTTAATAAGGATTATTTAAATAACGATAATTTCTCATTTGTCATAATAATAAATAAATATAAATATATATTCTATTTTATTTTATTTTCTTGGAAATCTTTAAAATAATGTCAAGCGTTAAGTATAAATTATATTAACCTGTATTTTTTAAATTTACCGCAATATGCCTATATATGTCAATTTATTTTTCCTTTTCTTCTTTCTCTCTCCTTTTTCCTCCTTCCCCATTTGCTTTCTTTTATATTTTATCTCTTTTCTCCATTTTTCTCTTTGTCTTTTTCCTTTTTCTTTTCCTGTGAAAGGACTTATTAAATAGGTCAAAATGTCTGGCACCTTACCCTACCACTGTTAAGTATCTTAATAAAGAGAGATTTAAACATATTCCTATCTCTCCCTTCCCTCTCTGATTTCGATCATATCATTCGTCCTCCTTCTCTCCTTCTGTATATCACCTTAGATCAACTTAAAAGTAGCCCTCAAAAACTTGTACAAAAATAATATGTAAATTTTAAAACCCTTTTTTATGCTTGGAAATGTAATCTGATGAACCAGGAAAAATCCCTTTCCCGGGGAAATAAAATATAATCAATGGACCCTTAAGGTTGTCTATTTTAATTAAACTTTGTGTATTTCGGCAGCAAATTATCTTTTAGGCGTGTCAGATTGAATAAATGACAGACATTATGTCTGCTAATTTTTAACAAAATCTGTTCATACTCAAGAATAACCTTCCATGTACTGATGTTAAAGGATGAAATTTAAATTTTAAATTTCTTTTATTTTCATTTCCCAAGTACTTTCGACCTTTTTTCAAGATCATCTTCATGGGTGCAAGTAATACAAAACTATATGTTTTTCATTAATATAAGTATTTATACAAAGTTGTGCGTTGTTATCCATTATCGTAATTTTTTCATTATGCTTTTAAATGCAACACGTTTGACAATGTGGTAAGCGTTCATTAGAAGTAAAAAAAATTATCCATTATGGATTTTTTCTATCTGTGTCATGGTCACGCGCGCATTAAAGCATGAAAAAACTGTTCTTTTACAGGCATTTCAGAACATTACTGCAGTATTCATACTTGATTCTGTTCAGTTCGGCTTTAATTTTTTTTAATAATAAATTGCTTCTAGTATCTGTAATCTGAATTTGTTGTATTCATGGTGTAGGATAGTTGTGTTGTCGATTATTAATTTTTATATTGTGAATGCGGACAGGAATATTTTTGTAGATGTCACGCAATTGACGAATGGTCAGACATGTGTAATGTTAGTCATCTTGTTAGAGTATTTGTTGTATACTCAACATGCATATTTGTTTGTTTTTTTTGTTTGTTTTTTTTTGTTTTTTTTTGTTTTTTTTTTGTCGGAGATACATTCTCCCAAGGGACATTTCGCTATAGTCTACATCTAAATTCTATTTCATCTCTATACCCCTAACGTTTCAGCCTGAATACTGAAATTTCATTCGCTAATTAAATCTTGGCCCCTTCAAGTCTAGAATTAGCTAAGCTTGCTCATTCTTACACTAATATAGGCTGTTCGAATAACTTGGACCGATTTTAAGTGTGAATTAATTTTAAGCGTCTAATGAGTTTTTCTTTTTTTTTTTCAGATTTAACAACTTACGTCTTTGGCAATTTCAACCATGGAAAGATTAACAATCAAACAACGTGTTGAAGTTATCGAAGCCTATTACGAAAATGGACGTTCAAATTTATAAACATACGGCCCAATGATTCCGCTAGCAAAAAAATGCACACCAAACAGTGACCTTCTGTGGATGCAGTGGCTTTTCAACAATCTTCCTTGGATTTTCATCAGGTCAAATGCGACAATTCTGCTTATTATTCATCTAGATGAAAATGGGTTTCATCACTAAAGAGGATTTCTTTGCGAAAAATTTTCATCGTTTTTTTTTTTTTTGCTCGTGCGGGCAATTGACGAATGTACGGCGCTTCAAATGGTCATCAGGTTTAAGTTCTTGTGTCAAATGAATTTTGTAAGCGTGTAAAAAAATCTTTTGTCAAAATTCGGTGTAATGTTGATGTTGAGAGGTTCAGTGGGTTATTTAATGCCGACAAGATTTTTATTACAGGTAATATTTTTTCCAAATATGTATTCCCGCTAATAATTTTTTTCTTCAGAAACTGATTTCTTACAGAGAATACACATTCTATTCATACGAACCTATCCTAAAAATCTTGTCGGCATTAAATAACCCATTGATGCTGATATGCCGTAAAACAAAATAAACCAAACCAATTAAACCAAAGAATACATATTCTAGTCATACGAATTTATCCTAAAAATGTTGTCGTCATTAAATAACACATTGAAATGTTGATATGCCGTAAAACAAAATAAACCAAACCAAACCAAACTAATTTCTTACAAAGAATACATATTCTATTCATACGAACCTATCCTAAAAATCTTGTCGGCATTAAATAACCCATTGAGGTTGATAAGCCGTAAAACAAAATAAACCAAACCAAACTGATTTCTTACAAAGAATACATATTCTATTCATACGAACCTATCCTAAAAATCTTGTCGGCATTAAATAACCCATTGAGGTTGATAAGCCGTAAAACAAAATAAACCAAACCAAACTGATTTCTTACAAAGAATACATATTCTATTCATACGAACCTATCCTAAAAATCTTGTCGGCATTAAATAACCCATTGAGGTTGATAAGCCGTAAAACTAAATAAACCAAACCAAACTGATTTCTTACAAAGAATACATATTCTATTCATACGAACATATCCTAAAAATCTTGTCGGCATTAAATAACCCATTGAGGTTGATATGCCGTAAAACTAAATAAACCAAACCAAACTGATTTCTTACAAAGAATACATATTCTATTCATACGAACATATCCTAAAAATCTTGTCGGCATTAAATAACCCATTGAGGTTGATATGCCGTAAAACTAAATAAACCAAACCAAACTGATTTCTTACAAAGAATACATATTCTATTCAATGAACCTATCCTAAAAATCTTGTCGGCATTAAATAACCCATTGAGGTTGATATTAAAAACTAAATAAACCAAACCAAACTGATTTCTTACAAAGAATACATATTCTATTCATACGAACCTATCCTAAAAATCTTGTCGGCATTAAATAACCCATTGAGGTTGATAAGCCGTAAAACAAAATAAACCAAACCAAACTGATTTCTTACAAAGAATACATATTCTATTCATACGAACCTATCCTAAAAATCTTGTCGGCATTAAATAACCCATTGAGGTTGATATGCCGTAAAACTAAATGAACCAAACCAAATCGAAAACTCAGCTGGTTGTTTCTGTTTTGTAGCATATCAACACCTCTATGTGTTATTTAAAACCGAAATCTAAATATTTTATAGCAATTTTATTTTATATTTTCGAAATAATAATGGTTTTCGTGATACAAGTTTTGCTAATTAACCCATAGCTAGACGGGAAGAGTTGGATTCATACATTTCCTAAGAGTACTTTGCGCGTACGTTAATATAAAGAATTCAACTGTAATTGGAACTCCAAGCCATCATTTGTTACACCATGCGCTCATCCAAGCTTATAGCACCTGGTATTCCCAAGCGGTCACCCATTTAGGTACTGACCAAAATCGACGTTGCTTAAATTCGGTGTTCGTACAGAAATCAGTGTTTCAACGTGATATGGCGGTAGCCACCGAATACGCAGCTTCTTTCTTTGGAGTCAAGAATTAATAAAACCTAACAGACAAATAAGTATGAATCTCTATTCAAATGTGAGACTTGGCTTTTTTATTATAAAACTTGGATTATACACACACACACACACATATATATATGAAGCAGGTATAATATCCATCTCACGCACGGTGAATACTAGACCTGGTTTCTTTAATATTTCGCCTTTTTTAGCGAGATTAATGCTCGACGAGCATACACATAAAAATTTTAGATCCTAATAGAATTCTTTTCATTTTCTTTTTCATTCGATATAATCAAAAATTTTTAGGAATACGTTTTGAAAGCGTCGCCCATGTGACGACAACGTGACCATGCTAAACGGAAAGCTGATCATTTTAAAAATTTTCAGTTATCTGTTTTGGATAAGACTTTTTTTTTATGTCCATCGTTTTTGTCAAATTGAACTGAATTGTATTTTAATGAATATTGTCTTGAAAAAGGTTTATTAAACCGAAACGTCAGACGTCGACATTTCATTCATTTTAAACAACATAATTGCATTTAAGGATTTTTGGTTTGTTTTTCCAAATTTTTTCTTCATTCTGTCGGATCTATATCCATTTACATTTGCTTATATATATATATATATATATATATATATATATATATATATATATATATATATATATGATGGAATCTCCCGTCGTTTTCGACGTCTTAGTGTTTTTCAATTTTAATCCTGTACCTTTCCCCGTCCACTTAACTCTCTTGCCAGTAGACTTGTTGCTCAGGTAGAATAGCAAAGAAGGATACTCTGAAAAATATATATATATATATATATATATATATATATATATATATATATATATACACGTATTTTTTAGAGTACTTTCGAATGTTTCTACATTCGTTTCCAAGCATTTCATTTTTGTGTGTTTAAGTAACTGGTTATTTTTTTTTGGGGGGGGCTGCCTTTATTTTCTTTTTTTTTTTTTTGTTAATTCCGCCATTTTTTCGTTTGCTGGAACCAATTTAAAGAAACCAAAAACAGTTAAATAAAAACACAAAAAACGAAATCCTTGAAAACAAATGTAGTAAAAATTCGCTAGCTCTAGAGAATAAATGTAAAAAAAATTAACTTTGGTAAATCTAAGAATTATATAAAACAACTAATTCGAAAATTTTAAAAAAGTTAAAAAATTCGCTAGGCAAAACTTGCCGATATTTTTCAACAAGACACGTTTGAAAGAATTCTTATTACCAAAATAGACCTTACATATATATATATATATATATATATATATATATAGGAATAGAGAAGTTAGAGTGTTTATTCAATGAAAATGATGTTTAATTGTTGTTATAACTTTTTTGTGAAAACATGCGTTCAGTCGAGCTAATATAATTCATGGTGGGGAGTGCTTTAATTTCAACTTTGGCCTTATATACGGCATTGCTAGCAAAAAAATATTGTCCACACAGACACATACATACACACACACGCGCACACACACGTATATATATATATATGGAGAGAGAGAGATAGATAGATAGAGAGAGAGATAGATAGATAGATAGATAGATAGATAGATAGATAGATAATAAACATTAAAATCCCAAATCATCTCATATGGGGAATAGCCTATTTCGGCAGACGATGATATCGGCCGTCTGTCTTATCAACCCCGGTGTGAACTGAGTATTTATAAACAATAATACACTTCACCACGCCCACTCCTTCCTTTTTATTCATATTGCTTCCACCTTAGGCTTTATAATTTCTTAACTTAAATCGTTGCACCATATAAAGTTTCAACTTAATCATTTCTTTCCCATTATTTCTCATCATACACACTATATTTTAAATTTACACCTCAATAATAAATTGGATTTATATTAACTTTGAGGTTTGAATCTGCGTAAAATCTGCTAAAGCGTTCCTCTCATGAGACCCAGTATTAAAAAAAAAACTGTAATAAGTGGCTCATTTGCCATTTGTGCCTGACGAAATAGGAAACCATGAAACTTTAAGTTATAAACGTAGGCATATCTGTATTTATTAATATATACTTCATAGCTCTGTTAAGCACTGTTTTGTCTGCACCATAAATTAAATTAAATAGATATTTATTTTCTTATCTGCGTATGCACGCTATGACACGCATATGCAGTTGTTAATATCTCGTTATTTAGTTACACTTCTATCTCTCGCTCTCTGTATATATATATATATATATATATATATATATATATATATATATATACAACAGAGATATACATTTACGCTTAAATATAAATAGATTAGAATTATTCATGCCACTGTATAATTAAATTAAATAAAATACATTAAATGTTCTTAATATATATATAACTTTTAGTGAGATATACTTTATATATTACACTTGCTAAACAACATTTTTTAAAGAAAAAGGAAAAATCGTTGTATGCCACGACTTATCTTAAAGATAAACAAATATAAAGAAAAGATTATAAAAATATATTAAATACTGTAAATAAATAATAACATAACAAATATTATAATATAATGTAATAAACAAAGAAAACTGTACAAATAATGGATGATTGAAAACTTTCCTTTAAATATGACACTGCTTTCTTTGAGCAAAAAAAAAAAAACAGAAAAAAAAAATCACGTCCGTTTACTCCGACATCAGCGTTCATAAGTTTGTTGATCGAGTGTTAAATGCCGACCTTTTTGAGAAATGCAAGATTATTACCATCGAGACCTTCATAATGCAATCACAACAACGTTTGGCTTGCCATGTGGCAAGGATGAGGGATGATCGAATAACAAAAGTTTTTTTTTACAGTGAACTCCATAGTAGTCATAGAAATGTTGGTAGACCTTGGCACATGTATAAAGATAAACTGAAAAAGTAACTTTTCTTCAAGAACTTTGAAGAAATAGCTATGAAGAGATCAGAGTATCGTTCCAGCTACAATTCAGGAATAATGTACCATCAAGAAGTAAGCATCAGTCGACTACATGAAACACGAAAGCAAAATAAGACAGCTAACAATGTCCCTGCTGCACTTGGATACAATACATTCTCCTGTACTGCTTGTCTTTTGTGCAATTCTCGAGCCGGTCTCAAAAGTCATACCCGTCATAGGCATGCAGATAATTAGTTCGTGGTCGTCGGAACCTCATTCATCGAACTCGATGGGAAAGCCCATCATATATATACACATACAATAATGCAGAGATAGTAGAAATACCCCATTTTTTGGTCTAATCTGACTCTTGTAAAGAGCAAACATATCAGGAGCCAGGTATTTTCTGTAGCGGCACAAGGTTATTTCAAGGTTTATATATTCCATATTGTTTTCAGGTCTAATTAAACTAAATCTCTTTTGATTTATGAGTTTGCAGATAATATAAGCTGAGTTTTATGTTGTCATATATATTTTCATTTTAGATTTTGTATGCTTTTCTTTTAGCATTGTATATGAAAACAACAACTGAGATAGTAGAGGATTTAAAAATATTTGCAGTGCATTTTTTTTTTTGCCAGGGGTATAAATTTTAAGGGCTTTATAATTATTCCAGAACCTGAAAAACTTTCGGATCTTGGAGGTTTTCTGAAAACTGATGCTCAACCTGTTCTTTGTCTTTTATTCTTTTATTTTTTTATTTTTCTTTTTTTTTTTTCGGTTTGGTTTGGTTTGTTTTACGCCATATCAACCTCAATGGGTTATTTAATGCCGACAAAATTTTTATTGCTGGTAATATGTCTTTCTTCAAAAATCTATTTCCGGGAATATTTTTCCTTGAAGAAATCTATAGCTGGTAATATTTTCTTCAAAGAATGTATAGCTGTTTGTATTGCTAGTACTTTTTTTTATGTATTCCTGATAATAATTTTCCTTTAAAAATTATTGCTGGTAATATTTTTTTATCACGAAGAATTTCTGGTATTAAAACCTATTTTTACACAAGTCTGGGTGTCAACTATTTGCCCATAGCTGGGACCTTAACAGGTGCTACCACTCCGGGTCAGGGTGGACCTGGGAACACCAGCAATTAAGAGGTGATTCAACGCTCCTCAAAACCTCCTGATCAGAGGCCTTGCTATTGGGCGTAGTTTATCGTCTTACACAGGACGCGGATGTAGTTTATCGTGTCTTATTTTTAAAAAAGTTTTTTGTGATTGCAAACTTTTCTACATCACCAAAAGACTAAATTTCCACCTTCCGTTGTTTCTGAAAGCCACGTACTACTAAATTTTGAATTTTACTACTTTGACTTTTACAATAAGCTAGGCTAACTTGGGCTACTAATGAAAATAAAGTCACTTGAGTAGCCTTAGGATTTCAAATACAGATCAATTTTACTACTTTTGTGAAAATTAGCATTTATATTTGAATAAATTTCCGGCATTATGATTGCTAATTTTTAACAAAATCCGTTCATACTCACGAATAACCTTCCGTGTATTGACGTTAAAGGATGAGAGAAATGTGCTATAGCTATTTAAATTTCTTTTATTTTCATTTCCCAAGTACTTTCGATCTTCTTCCAAGATCATCTTCAGGGGCTTTCATGAACGCTCTAATGAACACTCAGCACATAGTCAACCATTTGTATTTAAAAGCATAATGAAAATATAGCACAGCTTTGCATAAATACTTGTACCTCTGAACAACATATAGTTTTGTACTACTTGCACCCCTGAAGATGATCTTGGAAGAAGATCAAAATTACTTGGGAAATGAAAATAAAAGAAATTTAAACAGCTATGGCACATTTTTCTCATCCTTTAACATCAATACACGGAAGGTTATTCGTGAGTATGAACGGATTTTGTTAAAAATTAGCAGACATAATGTCCGTAATTCATTCAATCATATATATATATATATATATATATATATATATATATATGTGTGTGTGTGTGTGTGTGTGTGTGTGTGTGTATTTAGGCAGCAATCCTTCTTTCATGCACATTTCCTTGAATACGACAGAGAAGGTGCTTTGATTTAGTTTT